TGGTTTGTCAGGTTCCGACGTAATTAACTTTATTTTTGTGTCGGGCTCCGACTGGCTTTGTAATAAAGCGTCGGAGTCCGACATTCACTTTATTATTTTGTCGGGTCCCGATGATGTACCATCGGGATCCGAAATGTTTGTTCACTGCATATTGTTGGGTTCCGACTATAAATGTTTCACCTTGTCGGCGTCCGACATACACTTTTTTTATATGTTGTCGGGTCCCGACGTTTTGTCGTCTGACTCCGATGTGTAATAATTTCATTGCGTATTGTCGGATTCCGACATAAAATATTCGAAATATTACTATCTTTATTTTCTTTTGCACATTAATTAAGTTGGTTATATTAATATTTGCGAATAACTTGAACATTTTGCGATCACTTTCGTTAAAAATATTCACTTTTAAGTCTAAATTTGGTAGCATAGACGTGTGTTCTTTTCCTATTTGCGTATTGCACACGTCTACGTACCATCCTAGGACCCCAGAAGGGATCCTCAGGTAAATTTTAGTCCGTGCGCAGGTCACCGCCTTATGTGCGCAAGGCCAATGTCTCCGTTGACATTGGTATTCAAGCCTAATGACGTCATCTTTCCATCCGATAGTGTCGTTTCCCTGGGATTTACCCAGAGTCCAGACCACTTCGGAATCCGACGGTCGGCACCCGACAGTGTCGGGCTCCGACGATCGGGCCCCGATATCGGAATCCGACGTCCACGCGTATTGTATTACATCATTCCAGCTAACGGTTGAAGAGCAATCCAGGAGAGAACCTTTCGCCTCGGCGGTCCGAGAGCGAATCATTGTTGGCCTCTTCAAATAGTTCTTGTGACATCAAATTGTGGAGCAGGTAGGAGAGAGATTAAGAAGTTTTCTGTTATACTCTTTCCAAGATAAGGAGCATTTTATGGAAAGCCCATAACTGTGCCCCATATGCAAAATGCAGAGTTGTAAGCCCTAAAGCCCCAATGAGAGGAATCTTCCCCAGCAGTTTAGTCATCACAGCTGGTCGATTAAAAAACCAGTATTATTGTGCAAGGCTTGTATACCCATCAGGGATTAGACTCCTTCTTTTAGATTTATGCGTGTACATGAATATTTTAGTTACTTTAACAGAGCTTTCAAATCGCGGGCCCAGTATTGGTTAGCTAAGGTTAACAGAGAGATTTATGGAGATTCAATAAAGTTTTATACCAAATAGAAGGATTGGATGACAAAAACTTAATTTAATCACTCCCTCTAAAATTTGAGTATTTTTTAATGTTTTAAAGTACTAAGAAATTATAATCCCTGATTTTGGGTCACCCTGTATATATTTATGTCTATCAAATTTGAAATATTAACCATTTGCTTTGATGAATGATTCCCCAACATAAAATCCAGCAACACAATATTTAGTTAATTAAACCAACACTTTCTTTGATTGGTGTTTTATTGCAAAGATGCATTAAAAAATGTTTACTTCAATGTCTGCAATAGGGGTGAGTGAAACAAATGACCCAGATCAGGGGGGGGGGAATGCATAAGTCACAGCCACCCAACCATGTTTTTTGGCATGCTCACTTCTCAATTTGTAATCATCCACTACCTCAATTAGTAATCAGAAATAAAATGTTAACATTACACTGTTTATTTCTTAAAAATAAGACCATATTGATCTCTGTTACTGGCCCTATGGTGTACAATATTCTTAAAACTTTCATCATTGCTCCTAAGTTTCGAAAATAAATCAATAAGTATGTCACAAAGAAACAATTAGTGAACTTAATACTTCATTGTCACTAGTGGGCGCATGTTATTTTTTTGATTGTAGATGTTAAACCTAAGTTGGGAAATACAAATATCTAAAGACTTTATGAAAATATCTTTTAAATGGAGATAGATATTACTTTGGGCGAGGTGAGGTGATTTTTAAACAGGCAGCCAGTCCTTTGTCAGATTTCTTAAAAACTTTAATTTCATTATTTTAAACAAAGGCGGTTTCTGGGGGGGGGGCAGTCCATTACCCCCCCCCCCCCTGAGTGAAATTAGGGGATGTCTGAATTGGTCTGAAAGGTAAGACTTTGAAATGAAGACTTAGAACATGTGTGACTGAGAATGGGCCTTGGATATGATTAAGCCAGACAACTATGAATTAGACATAAGTGTGATTGAAAAAGTGTTTCAGACTTAATTAACACTTAGAATTATGACTTAGAATAAATCCTAAACACAATAAAGTCTAAAAAACGTGATTTAGGTCTAGTTTTGAGTAAAAATTGAGCCTCAGTATGTGTCTAGGACAAATTTGTTACTTAGAAAGTGTCTAATGCATGTTTGTGGCTTCAAAAATGTTTTAGACATAATTGTGACTTAGAACAGTGACTTAGAGAGTGTCTTAGACATAATTTTGTCTCAAAAGTTTGTGTTCGACGTGTAATGGTGACTTATATATAATTGTGACTTAGAAAGTGTCTTAGACATAAGGGAGTCTGCAAAGTAAGAATTTTTCATAGACTTGTGACTTAATTTGACATAATTCGGTCTCAAAAGTTGACTTAGAACTGTGATTTGAAATATGTCTTACCATGACTTAGACATGGGTTTGAGTTAGAATTGGGACTTAGAATGTGTCTTAAAGTAACTTAATCTGGATTCTATGGCCATTACATCTTAAACTGACAGTTTTGATGCTTTAGTATATGAAAGTTTAAACTTAAAACTTTGTGATATAAATATTGCCATATATTGTCATAGATAACAGGTTCTCTATGACCCATCACAGGTTGGTAAACCTGGGACGGATGGCAATGCATCTCAAGAGGCTTGCCCGATTTCAGACATTCGTGTTTTAACTCATTCACTTCAAGTAGCCCAGTAAAACTAGTTTATCGTAGACTAGGAGAAGGGAGGATTTTTTATTTACTTTCAGCCTTCTTATGGTATACTTTTATTTTTAACTCTAAAATTAACATAGAAACTACTTGCAGTCTCCTGCAAGAAATATTAGCATGATTTAAGAAGCATTACTTACTAAAAGAGAAANGAGTAGATTAAAAAAACTCTTGGTAACATACGGTGGTAGGTGATTATTTCAATATAAAAAAGACAACTTTTTTATTTAAGTTTTAATTGTTAACACAATTATTTCGAATTACAAGTTTTTTTAATCGACAGCTTCTCTTTGTTTCCGTGTTTAAAAGCTTGATATAAATCAAAATTTTAAATGAAAGTTGTCTTTATCATATTGATATAGTCCACATTTACAGGTTAAATTTGGACGAACAAACAGAATTTAATAAATGAGGATGAGCATTCAAATAAATATGAAATATTTCAGTGCAATTTTTAAAAAACATGGAATGTTTAAAGCTTGACAACAAAATAACGAACTAAAGTTTTTAAATATATGCAAATTAACAAAAAAATATGTAAAATTGTATATTTTTATGTAAATTTATTGCAAAAATCCCAATTTCTTTTATTTCCCAGGAAAAGTAAGCTATCTTTGTGAAGTAAAAAAGTTAGAATACCCCCCCCCCCCCCCCCCCATTAGTCTTTTGTTTAATAAATCTTGTTTATTAAACGTAAAAAGTGATAAAATATAATATTGATTTATTTGTTCTCTATGATAGATAGATACTCATGGAGAAGATAATTAATGTTGGTGTGAACATATGTGAAATCAACTTTACTATAGATATATTTTAAAGAAATTAAGTCTTTTTAACATTTTCAAAAGAAAATCCACCAAAGGGTGACTTTGTATTGAATACAAAAAAAACATAAGGAAAATAATTTATGACTATTGTTCCACATGCAAAAGTGGTTTGCCCTGCCGAATTTTATGAAGTGTCCCAAAACCTGTCCATCTGTTAAGCTCGTTAAAATAACAATAATTGTCTCATATCATGCGTTGTATCCCAGTGATGAGCATAATTTTCTGGTCTGCTTTGAGACATTAAGGGGTTCCGTTTTCAACTGCTAAAGGGCTCCCCACAACAAGATGAGTTTTTTACACATGGTAAAATTGTATTTTCGAGACGTTTTCTATCAATAAAATTTTCCAATTTTTTCTCTGATTTAAGAAATATAAATCAAAATGAATTGTTTTTTACTGATTGTTTTTAAAAACTGTTTTGGTTGATATCCTTGGTCAAAGTGAAAATTTTGTTTAATATAATAAAAGTAAATTTGTCTAGAATAGGATTTACTTTTCAGATTCTAGTGGAATCTGCAAACTGTAGATTAGAGAATTAGAATGAGTAGGATGATTTTGAATCTACTTTAAAACTCCAAATCTATATGTTTAGAGATTTGGAATATTTCCCAAATATTTCAATGCGAAATCAAAAAGATGTGGTAAAAATTCACTTTAATACCTTTGGTATAATAAGTTATGTATAATCAAGATGTCTAGATATATCTATCTCCTTGCATTGGTATAATTCTATTTTTGTTGCTATGTTGACAAGGTTTATCATTTGCATGATGTCTAGTTTTCTGCCTCAGCTGTGAAATGTTACAGTATTATTCATATATATTTTTACTATTTACATTTATTCCATGTAGTTTCCTTCATTTTGGTCTCATAAATATTTAGAGCTTTGTAGAGAAGAAAAAATCGTCCCAGGTCAAATTTGGTACCTCTTGATAATACCAACACTTGAATCATGAAAATGAAGCTTTAGATTGACAGATAATTAAAGAAGTATTGAATAAAATTCTCTGATATGTGACAAATTATTTAAAATTGGAAAAAATATAGAAGTCTGGAATTATTTAGCTTTGACAATCAAGCTCAATTTTAATAAAAACCCTATCTTTCCTCTTCTTATTCATGTGTATGATAATAACCTTTTCTTTTTGCTTCCAATCTAACAAAATCAACAAGTTCTGTGAGCCACATTTTATTACAAAAGTTATAAAATATTCAAACAGATTTTTTTATTAAAATTGCTGTGCAATGTGTAAAATAAACATGACTAAATGTTTAAAATTAAAATTAAAAGATAATCAATCATGGTAGTTCAAGCTCTTCTTTTATTTAAAAACTAATCTATAAAATATAATTTGCAGCAAATTTTTAGCTTGTCGTGCTTCTATGTGCATATAAATAATAACCTTAAATCTAAAAACATAATAAATTGCATTTAATTAAATATAAATCAAACAAGAAGTGTAAAAATAAGAATATTGATATTTTCAATTTTGGTTCAACTGTTTTTTTGCCAACCCTTTTCAAACTTCTTAGTCAAGAAGTCTGACTGATTCTGTTGCCAAAATACACCAAATAATATCAAAACGTTTTTGTTCAGTTATCATTACAAAAACTTTTGAAATAATTGGCGTAAAACACAATGTCTAAAAACCCCAATCATTATCAAAATGTGAAAAGTAAGAAATTCTAATTAGTAGTCAAATCAACATCATTGATTAAAAACCAAAAACTAGATGTGCAAATATTTATGTGGAAAAGCAAATCGGACTTAATATTTAAAATGCTGTATTTGTTTTTATTTCTAATCATAAAATTGTTATTACCCACTAAAGAGTTTTAATTTGAAAAACGCAATTTAAGTTTCTACTGTCCCTTAAAATCCTATTTAGGCTGGACATTTAACTTCAACTGAAACTCCAATTTCAAAATCTTTTTCAAGAGGATCAGGAGACTTTTCCCACATCCCATTTTCATCTAAATATTCAATAGATCTAACAGCACCATTACCTCCAAGCACTGTCAATCTATTATTTTGAACAAATAAAGCAGGCATTGCTCTTGCATTATTCATCTTGTTGATTGGTTTCCATTTGTCAGTTTCCATATTGTATACTTCAACATCAGTAAGTACTCTAAATGATAGGTTTTTAATTATAAATTAAAATTTTATATTTTTGCCTTGTCTATCTCTTGGGTTTTTGTATCCAACAAATGTCAAAACCATTCAACTTTGAAAAATGTTGATATTTAGACAAATTTTTAAATCCACTCATGAAAAAATGAAACCTCTTCAAAATCTGAAACTCTGGTTCCATTTAAAGTAACATATAGAAGCTAAGACTATTACAAAAAAGGCTTGGTTTCCAAGTATTCTTAACGCCTGGTTTCTTCTTTTTTTCCAAATATTGTTATTAATAAATTTATTACCCTCCTGCTCCTATTCCTCCAGCTACATACAGTTTGTTGTTGTAAATAGTACATCCTGGATTTTGTCTATAAAATATTATACTTCATGTTTGTATTAATTCATGTATTGGGTTTACATAAACTAAACATCATCAGTCATTTTTATTATCAGACAAATCTATAACATTTGCCATTGGGCTTTACTTTATTAATCTTCAAATACAATCATAACAAAAAGTTATTGCCACAAACATTGAATGTCTAATTCCTATATCTTTGCAGCACGATGTCAAAGACGTTTAATATTTCAAACCATGATTTCTATTAGATCAAATAATCTAAGTTTAAAATATCAAAGGTTTAAAGAAACACCAACAAAGAAAAAAGAGCTAGAAATTTTGAGTTTGTGGCAAAAACTCAGTTACTTTGCAAAAATAGGGTATAGAAACTGGTACTGATTTTCAGCTTACTAGCATTTTGAAATTTGCAAGCAAGTACAGTGTATACCAATACCAGAAATATCTTATACCAATCTCAAGAATAGAATATACCAATTTCAGGAATATTATATACTATTAACAGGAATAGTTTATACCAATATGAGGAATATGATATACTATTAACAGGAATAGTTTATACCAATAACAAGAATAGGAATAGTATAAACCAATCTCAAGAATAGTATATACCAATAACAGAAATAGTATAAACCAATAACAGGAATAGTATATACCAATGATAGGAATAGTATATACCATTAACAGGAATAGTATATACCAATAACAGGAATAGTGTATACCAATAACAGGAATAGTATAAACCAATAACAGGAATAGTATATACCAATGATACGAATAGTATATACCATTAACAGGAATAGTGTATACCAATAACAAGAATAGTGTATACCAATAACAGGAACAGTATAAACCAATAACGGGAATAGTATATACCAATGATAGAAATAGTATATACAATTAACAGGAATAGTATATACCAATAACAGGAATAATATATACCAATAAAAGGAATAGTATAAACCAATAACAGGAATAGTATAACCCGATAACAGGAATAGTATAAACCAATCTCAAGAATAGTGTATACCAATAACAGGAATATTGTATACCAATAACAGCAATAGTTTATACCAATAACAGGACTAATGTATACCAATACCAGAAATAATATATACCAATAACAAATATAGTGTATACCAATAACAGAAATAGTATATACCAATGACAAGAATAGTGTATACCAATAACAGGAATAGTATATACCAATAACAGTAAGAGTATATACCAATAACAGGAATAGTATATACCAATGAAAGGAATAGTGAATACCAATATCAGAAATAGTTTATACCAATAACAGGAATAGTTTATACCAATAACAGGCAAAGTGTATACCAATAACAGGAATAGTGTATACCAATAACAGGAATAGTGTATACCAACCACAGAAATAGTGTATACCAATAACAAGAATAGTGTTTACCAATAACTGGAATATTGTATACCAATAACAGGAATGGTGTATACCAATAACAGATATAGTATATACCAAAAACAAGAATAGTGTATACCAATGGCAGGAATAGTGTATACCAATAACAGGAATATTGTATACCAATAACAAAATTAGTGTATGCCAATAACAGAAATAGTTTATACCAATAACAAGAATAGTGTATACCAATAACAGAAATAGTGTTTACCAATAACAAGAATAGTTTATACCAATAACAGGAATAGTTTAAACCAATAACAAGAATAGTGTATACCAATAACAGGAATGGTTTATACCAATAACAGAAATAGTTTAAACCAATAACAAGAATAGTGTATACCAATAACAGAAAAAGTGTATACGAATGATTGGAATAGTATATACCAACAACAGAAATAGTTTATACCAATAACAAGAATAGCGTATACCAATAACAGGATTAGTGTATACCAATGACAGGAATAGTGTATACCAATAACAAGAATAGTATATACCAATAACAGGAATAGTATATACCAATGACATGAATAGTTTTACCAATAAATGGAATAGTGCATACCAATAACAGGAATAGTGTATAACAACAACAGAAATAGTGTATACCAAATACAGAAATAGATTATACCAATAACAGGAATAGTGTATATTGACAGGAATAGTGTATACCAATAAAAGGAATAGTTAATACCAATAACAAGAATAGTGTATACCAAAAACAGGAATAGTATATACCAATAACAGAAATAGTTTATACCAATGACAAGAATAGTGTATACCAATAACAGGAATAGTTTATACCAATAACAGGAATAGTGTATACCAATAACAGGAATAGAGTGTACCCACAGCAGGAATAGTGTATACCAAATAAAGAATACCAATGACAAGAAAAGTATAACCTAATAACAGGAATAGTGTTTTCCAATAACAGGGTTAGTGTGTATCAACAACAGAAATATTTTATACCAATACCAAGAATAGTGTGTACCAATAACAGGAATAGTTTATATCAATTACAGGAATAGTTTATACCAATGACAAGAATATTGTATACAATTATCAGAAATAGTTTTTACCAATAATAAGAATAATTTATACCAATAACAGGAATAGTATATACCAATATTAGGAATAGTTTAAAACAATAACAGGAATAGTTTATACCAATGACAAGAATAGTGTATACCAATAACAGGAATAGTATATACCAATACCAGGAATAGTTTAAACTAATGACTGGAAGAGTTTTTACCAATGACAAGAATAGTGTATACCAATACCAGAAATAGTTTATACCAAAAACAAGAATAGTGTATACCAATAACAAGAATAGTTTATTCATATATCAGAAATTATTTATACCAATAACAAGAATAGTGTATACCAATAACAAGAATGGTGTATACCAAAAACAGGTATAGTGTATACCAATGACAGGAATAGTGTACACCAATAACAGGAATAGTATATTCCATTAACAGGAATAGTATATACCAATAAAAGGAATAGTATATACCAATAACAGGAATAGTGAAAACCAATAGCAGGAATAGTATATACCAATAACAGGAATACTTTATACCAATACCAGAAATAGTGTATACCAATGACAGGAATAGTTTACACCAATAACAGGAATAGTGTATACCAATGACTGGAATAGTGTAAACTAAGAACCTGGTATACAGGAATAATGTATACCAATACCAGAAATAGTTTATACCAATAACAAGAATAGTATATACAAATAACAGGAATAGTTTATACCAATAGCAGGAATAGTTTATACCAATAACAAGAATAGTGTATACCAATAACAAGAATAGTGTATATAAATAATAGGAATAGTGTATACCAATAACAGGAATAGTTTAAATCAATAACAGGAATAGTGTATACCAATAACAGGAATATATATATATTTGTTTTTAAATGTTTTTAGAGTTGTAATCCTCTTTTTTAGTTTTATATCTGATTATTATGAGATTATTTAGATGTGAACATGTTTTTGTTAATTTATTAATTCAATTAACTATAGAATTGCTACGGTTGATGTCTAGCAAATTTTGATATTGCAGAGGTTTTAGTCACTTTCATCAGATGGAACAAAAGGATAAATTTATAGGGGCCCCTTAAGGAACCACGCTTCTACGGGTTCTCTTCCAGGAATCTAGCTTTTAGAAACCCAAGCTTATACCAATAACAGGAATAGTTTGTACCAATAACAGGAATAGTGTAAAACAATAACAGGAATAGTGTATACCAATGACTGGAATAGTGTATACCAATACCAGAAATAGTTTATACCAATGACTGGAATAGTGTAAAACTATAACAGGAATAGTGTATGCCAATGACTGGAATAGTGTATACCAATACCAGAAATAGTATAAAAAAATTACAGGAATAGTTTGTACCAATAACAGGAATAGTGTAAAACAATAACAGGAATAGTGTATACAAATACCAGAAATAGTTTATACCAATGACAGGAATAGTGTATACCAATAACAGGAATAATATATACCAATAACAGGAATAGTATATATCAATAACAGGAATAGATTACCAAGGTTCACTTCTCACAGACAATCCTTAAGAATATCCGAAATAAAAATTTAAAAAAAAATAATCTAAAAGGGTATAGGTATGTTTATGCATTAAAAGATTATTTAAAGTCTATCAAGGAAGTTTCTGGGAAATTAACTCGATTTTGTTAACACGATTCAGATTGTCGTCTGGTTTTCAAAAAAATAGGTGGGGGGGGTCCCTGGCCCCCCCCCCCTCCGTTTGTATTTCTTTATTTNTTCCTATTGCCATGCTTTGAAGGGTTTTAATAATTAATCCATCACTTTCATACTTCTCCACAGTTGTCAGAAAAGTAGTTCCACCAAATCCTCCGATCACAATCATTTCAGTTTTACTGAATTTAAAGAAAGGTGACACCTTGACAGCACGTTTAGTACAAGTATTCAATGTGTGAATTTCTGAATTCATAATGCACAAGCACAATAATACAGCATTTAATTTCCTATTAACTGTGTGGTGACATACAACAAGAAAACTTTCAAACTTGATAAGTTTACAGTCCTGCATCTTAATATCGCAATCACTTTGTAATATGTGCAATAAATTGCCTTTATAATTTATTTGATTTAAAATATATTTACTCTGGATCAAGATTTAAGTAAAAACTGTCAAAATCAACAATTATTCCATTATCAAAACTATATTTACAGAAGAAGAAGTTCATACATTGACATCCAATTGATAGGACCTTCACAGAAAAGAAATTTATAGATACTAGACTTTTAGGCCCATCTTCTATTTTATTTGTGAACATGTTCTCTTTGTATGCATTATAAAACAAAACTAAACAAAATTTTGCAGATTTTATAAAAAAAGATCATGGATTTTCAAAATCTTTAAAAATTGAATTTTTTTAGAGGCAAGTTTTTGGAAAGTCAATCATTAATAAATCTTGGCCTGAATGGTTCAGCTGTTTGATGTTTATTGGATACAAACAAACACAAATCAGAACACCCAGACAGAAAGCAAAGGATATGTATAGATGACATTTAATAGGATAGGACCATTTCATAGACAGGACATTTAAGAGATATGACATTTTATGGACAGCATATTCAAAGAAAAAGAAATTCATAAAAAGGACATTTAATAGATATATTTAATAGATAGGTCATTTAAGCTTCATTCTTAGAACATTTCATAAATAGACTAGATTTTTCAAAGATCTCAAAGATAGAAACGAATTTTTGACTTTTGAGAAACAAAGAAATAAAAATAAAAAATCAATTTAACCTTATTGCTACAGAACAGTGAGATTCTCTTGGGGAAGTAAGTTTGTTTTCCAGAGTTTTCCAGGTGTTTCCATCATATCTTTCAATTTTATCTGTCCTGTTAAAAAGTAAATTATACAGGGAGGACCATTAAACATAGAAATTAAAATTAGAATTTCGTTGTCAAATTTATAAATTTAAGCATTCTAAATTAAGAACTAAAACTCTTTATGTTTCATGTGTTTAGCTATGTACATACTTGCAAGAAACGTTTACAATACAGGTACATATTTATAAATTTTCCAACAAAAGTATTACTATGATAGAGTTATTTTTATAAAAATGGCCAAGAACCCTAGTTTGATAATAAACAGTATACTTACGCACTGAATCCATTATGACCCCCAGTCACCATAATGAAGTTTCCCAAGGTTGTCCAGCTAGAAAATTGTATATTTGTTGATGAACAATTATCTGTTATATCCCAGGTAGCTGAAGGTTCAAGACCACCATAGTAGCATCTAAACATCACAATATTTAAATTGAATATTCATTCATTAAGAGACTGTAAACATAATTTCAAGTGACCCTCCATTTCTAGAGTGGTGTTCAGATTCACTCTTTAGGTCTTTGTCAGATCAAGGATAAAAATGTGATATCCTAAATTTTTCCAGCTGAAATTTAATCATTTTCATTTCTGGTATTCTCTTCTTACAATTATAAAGTTGTGCTGCAGAGATGACAGAGGAAATTGAAAGAATTTTCAAGATAGAGAAACAACAATATCTTTATTCAGATAGACTTTTGAAGAGTACCCTTGTGAATCAGACATTGATATATCACTCTATAAATTGCGGGTCTCTTGAAAAAAACACCCTCCTCCCCCCCCTCCTCTATCCGCAACTATAAAACGCAATTCAAACTGCAATCTGTAACAAAACTTCTAAAATATGCTTGAACATGGCATCTTGGTTCACAAGTACTCAACAGTTAAGTATAGGCTTTTTTAAAAATCTAACAACTATTCATATAAGGAAATTCTTACTATCTTTAAAGTTTTTGAACAAAGATGTAGAGATAAGAAACTAGAACTAGTGCAGAGTAATCAGTTCCTTTCTATAACCATAGGAATATTGGAAGTAGGGCTGGGCAAGCTATGACTTTGCTCTAGCTGTTTTGTTAACAGTTTGTTAAAACCATATCTTTTTTTGGCAGCCATTTATTTTTGGTAATGCTCGTTTCTTTAACGATATTTTCAGTTTTTCAAAAGCTGTTTGTTAACGAACTCAATAGTATTAACCACAACTAAGTTAGAAATAATTAATGGTGCTAGCCATCATTTCATGCAAAAATAGCTGGAAAATTTAAAGACAACATTAAAATTCATTAAATAAAAAAAATTCTATAATTCAACAAATAAGCAAGGTCAAAATCATATATGGCTTTTACAAATTAATATAAAGAATTATTCTGAATTTTCTGCGATTTTTAGCAAAATAAGTAGCGATTTTTTTAAAAGCATCCATTTAGTTTTTTTGACAATCTGTAATTTTTTTTCAAAAAGGGCATTATCCATTAGTTTAAAATTAAAAAAATAACAGCTTATCCCATTCATCATCAGACTCTTCCGTTAATTTTTAAAAACCTCCATTTCGGTTGCAGAACTTTTCCCAGCCCTAGTTGGAATTTCCCATTTTCTTACTTATTGTCCTTTTGGTTGTAGATGTAGGGTTTTTCATTATAAACTGTAGCTCCTGTNATACCAATAACAGGAATAGTATATACCAATGATAGGAATAGTATATACCATTAACAGGAATAGTATATACCAATAACAGGAATAGTGTATACCAATAACAGGAATAGTATAAACCAATAACAGGAATAGTATATACCAATGATAGGAATAGTATATACCATTAACAAGAATAGTGTATACCAATAACAGGAACAGTATAAACCAATAACTGGAATAGTATATACTAATGATAGGAATAGTATATACCATTAACAGGAATAGTATATACAAATAACAGGAACAATATATACCAATAACAGGAATAGTATAAATCAATAACAGGAATAGTATAACCCAATAACAGGAATAGTATAAACCAATCTCAAGAATAGTGTATACCAATAACAGGAATAGTATAAACCAATAACAGGAATAGTATAAACCAATGATAGGAATAGTATATACCATTAACAGGAATAGTATATACCAATAACAGGAATAGTGTATACCAACAACAGAAATAGTTAATACCAATAACAAGAATAGTGTATACCAATAACAGGAATAGTGTAAACCAGTAACAGGTAAAGTGTATACTGTTGTATATGAATAAAATGCAAAAGGGAGATATATTTCACTCCACGAAAGACCAAACTACAAAGGACTCATTCACCCAATATTAAACGATATATGGTACACATACTTTATTACGAGTAAAGATACAAACTGATAATGATACTATGGTAAAATAATATTGAAGATGAGAAGATAGAGCTACAGATCTCGAACTTGTTCTCGTAACTTCTAGCTAAGATGGTTGATCACCAACTGCCAGTTCTCCGGGTATCAGTTAACCTCCAAGGTTGGGTCTGGAAATCCCTAGTTTATCCAAACTTCCTGGGTCAATGCCCATCATACCTTCACTCCTGACCCCTCTTTAGCGTCAGGTAGATAAACTTGGCTTTCCCACCAGCATTATTCTATTTATAAATATTTACAATCAGGGTTCTGATATTTGTAACCCTGAGATTTTCGTTAAAAGATCATAATATTCTCGCTTCCGCTACAATACCAATAACAGGAATAGTGTAAGCCAATAACAGGAACAGTATATACCAATAACAGGCATAGTGTATACCAATAACAGGAATAGTATATTCCATTAACAGGAATAGTATATACCAATAAAAGGAATAGTATATACCAATAACAGGAATAGTGAAAACCAATAGCAGGAATAGTATATACCAATAACAGGAATAAGTTGAACTTTGTTTTTAATAAAATATTGTGTTACTTTTTCCTGCCATATATTTTGCAATTATATTTTTTGTTACCTATATCTTAACCAATTTATATATTTTATTACTTAGATATATCAATTGTTTTAATATCTTACGTTATTATATATTTTGTTCATATAACATTTGTTATTATATTTCCTGTTACTAAGCCAAAAAGCATGATTTCAACTCACCCTTTCCAATCAAGAGGATCCCTGTAGTGTCACTCTAAATAGTAAACATATTTAATATATAAAACTACAGTGATAGTCTAAATAAGACCAAATAATGTAAATTGATTTATACTTGAAAGTCGTCTTTGACCTTAGAAATAGTTTTTAGTATTAAACATAGGTAAACTACTTTTAGCAATATATTTTTATGAAGCAATTATCGCAGAAAAACCTTAGTCTGGCCAATTCCAAAATGTGGTCTGCCATTTTAGTGCTTTTACAATTACCAAAGATCTGAATGATTTGGTTCAGAATGAGACATGTTTTTATGTGATTAATTGAAATTTAAACAAAATTATTCAAGCAAAAACTGGCAGACCACAATCAGGAACATTCCTGGTACTTGTGTAATGGTACTCAAGTGTGTCGATTTTTTTTCTCATGGATTTTTATATTATTTTCATTATCATTTTAAAATATTGTAATTAAAAAATGATTTAAATTTCTGCTAATTTTCCTTCATTTCAGGGATTGTCANGTTGGACTTTTGAATCCTATTTTGAATTCTAACGGATTTATTTGAGTTTGCATGTGAATTCTATAAATAACCCAAGCCAAGCTGAAAGTTCCGTTATTCCAGAGGCACGGGGGCTGGGGGGCTAGCCGGCCAGCTCCCGGGGAACTAGGGTTAAATGAGAGCCCAGGGTGGAGCGAAATGAAGGGAAAAGAATCAGTTGATCATCAGCTCCCTTAAACTGAGGTTCCCTTGAAGATTCCCCATCACTCTGAAACTGCTTCAATTCATAATATTTTATTAGTATAGTATCAACCTTTCCATTTTTGTATCTTTGTAAATAATAAACTGTAAGAAAAACCGACTCGTTGAATATTAATAATACAAGTGTTTGCATTGATTTATTTTTCTTTCATATATAATACTAGGGTTCATCTGTGCTATCCAGTGATATAAAGATATATACTGTATTCAGGTTAACTCTAGTACTGAGTAACCTGGGGTTCAGCTGAGCTATCCAGTGATATACAGATATATATTGTATTTAGGTTAACTCTAGTACTGAGTAACCTAGGGTTCAGCTAAATTATCCAGTGATATAAAGATATATATATTGTATTCAGGTTAACTCTAGTACTGACTACTGAGTAACCTAGGGTTCAGCTGAGCTATCCAGTGATATAAAGATTAATATTGTATTTAGGTTGACTCTAGTACTGAGTAACCTAGGGTTCAACTGTGCTATCCAGTGATATAAAGATATATATTATATTTAGGTTAACTCTAGTACTGAGTAACCTAGGGATCAGCTGTGCTATCCAGTGATATAAAGATATATATTGTATTCAGATACCTCTAGTACTGGGTGACCTAAAGTTCAGCTGGGCTATCCAGTGATATAAAGGTATATATTGTATTTAGGTTAACTCTAGTACTGAGTAACCTAGGGTTCAGCTGAGCTATCCAGTGATATAAAGGTATATATTGTATTCAGATTTCTCTTACTGGGTGACCTAAAGTTCAGCTGGGCTATCTAGTGATGTAAAGATGTATATTGTATTCAGGTTAACTCTAGTACTGAGTAACCTAGGGTTCAGCTGAGCTATCCAGTGATATAAAGATATATATTGTACTCAGGTTAACTCTAGTACTGAGTAACCTAGGGTTCAGCTGAGCTATCCAGTGATATAAAGATATATATTGTACTTAGGTTAACTCTAGTACTGAGTAACCTAGGGTTCAGATGTGCATTCCAGTGATATAAAGATTAATAGTGTATTTAGGTAGTAACCTAGGGTTCAGCTGAGCTATCCAGTGATATAAAGATATATATTGTATTCAGGTTAACTCTAGTACTGAGAACTGAAAAATTCAGCATTATTTCACAGCAAATTTATATTTGTTAGTTAAAGTAGCTTTATTCATTCTTAGTATTTTGACTTTATTATTTTATTTTATTTATAATTTAAGGGAATTGTTCGTGAAAAATGAAAGGGGGTATAGGCTTATGGCGAAAAATAAGCGCGTTTTATCGCTACTAATCTTACTTCTATCTGTTTCGTCTATAAGGAGAAAATTGTTAAAAACGACTTATACTGAAGAAGTTAATTTCCATACAAATTGAGAAAGTTGCAACATATGACTCGGATCGTAGTAAAATCCATCTAATTTCAAACAAATCATTCAGATATTACAACCTACAGTCATCGATTATTTTTCGACGCATTTCTATATAGGTGATATTCCATAATACTTTTATTTGTTATGCACTTCAAATGCTGAAATAGTTGGCTGCCAGGTGTCTCTGCTCTTGATGCTTGGAATGATTTCACGTGGCAGAGACACCTAGCGGAAAAAACGTCGTTTTAAGTGCATTGCATATATAAATAAATAACAAATATTATGAAACATTAACTTTAATCGAATGTGTCAAAAAATAATCAATGTCGAAACATTTTAATACTTCAATGATTTGTTTGATATTAAATTGATTTTTCTACGATCCTAGTCGTATGTTGCAACTTTCTCAATTTGTATGGACACTAAGTTCTTCGGTATACGTCGTTTTTAACTATTTTCTCCTTAGAGACGCAACAGATGGAATTTAAGATTAGTAGCAATCAAAAGCGCTTATTTTTCGCCGTAAGCCTATACCCCCTTTCATTTTTCGCGAACACTCCCTTTAACAGTTATATTCAAACTTACAGGTGTTTTACTGCATTCTGATGTGAGACTTCCATGTCCAAAGCAAAAGAATTGACCTGAAAATTAACATTTAATATAAAAAGAATTTGATAATTTAGAGTATCAGAACTCTTAAAATATCAATCTCTATAAGAATTTGATAATTTAGAGTATCAGAACTCTTAAAATATCAATCTCTATAAGAATGACACAATGGTCCTTTTTAAACCTTCATCTGAAACTTTTGAACCAACCTTTATCTGATCAATAATATGGTTCAGATATTGTCGTTTTTCTAGGTCTAAAAGTGTCTAATTCTGTGAATTCCTATATGTTTTTCTGCACAAGTCGATACGATAAAAAATTATCATAAATATTTCTATCTAGTTTATATTTGATCAGACAAAGATTTTAACTGTACCCTTGTAAATCAGTCTTCTGATTCAGACAAGTTCTGTCCAGTCAAATTTCAGTCAGTTCTCCATAGAGACTCTACAGTTAAAATTATCAATTTTTAAAGTTAAAGACATGGATAGCAGAAAAGGTATTGAAAATACAAAGCTTTTAAGGAAAATGAAGGATAATTTTAAAATACATTTATGCAACCCTTTAAGTAAAACACTAGTTCAAGCTATACAAAAATATAAAAATATCATGCATTGTATATGATTGACAACGCCTATTTATGTGCATAAAACTGTTTTGAATTTCAAAGGGTTTTGTACCTGTCTTCTAGCAACAATTTAAGTGTTTGAATTTTTCTTAACTTAAGCGGACATTTTTTCTTTTTATTTGTAATTTTAAAATTATTGTGAATTTATCTGTAAACATTGACAAATTTTTAAATGGAAGAATGTGTTTTTTCAATCTGAAGAATTCCAAATCGCTAAACTAATATTTTATTATTTACCTGGTTTTCCCTTCTTTGTGTAGATACAACTATTTGAGCAGAAGGGAGTTGAACTTGTATTTGCGATCATAGTTAGATTTACATCTAGAGAATAAACTCCTCCCCTTTCATCTACACTGTTAACTCTCTACAATAATATTAAAAGATGATGAATATTCATAGATAATAAATATTTAAAGATAATGAATATTCATAGATGATGAATATTCATAGATGATGAAAATTCATAGAGGATGAATATTCATAGATGATGAAAATTCATAGATGATGAATATTCATAGATGATGAATATTCATAGATGATGAAAATTCATAGATGATGAATATTCATAGATGATGAAAATTCATAGATGATGAATATTCATAGATGATGAATATTCATAGATGATAAATATACATAATGGATAAATATTCATAGATGATGAATATTCATGAATGACAAATATTCATAGATGATTAATATACATAAGGAATAAATATTCATAGATGATGAATATTCATAGATAATAAATATTCATAGATGATAAATATTCATTGATGATAAATATTCATTAATGATAAATATTTATAGATGATGAATATTCATAGAGGATAAATATTTATAGATGATAAATATTCATAGAGGATAAATATTTATAGATGATGAATATTCATAAAGGATAAATATTTATAGATGATAAATATTCATAGATTGTAAATATTTAAAAATGATAAATATTTATAGATGATAAATGTTCATAGATGATAAATATTCTTAGATGATAAATATTTAAAGATNTAGTTAATCTAAAGGATTTTTCTGTCCATTTATTTAATGCATAGGGTAGGGTACAGGGCGGTATAAGGTCTGATCTATGTTAAAAGGTCCGATCTATAACTTGCGACTAAAATACAGATCTATACTCAATTAAATTTTGTTTTTCTGTTCCAAAACTGTTTGGTCTCACTCTATGTGAATTATTTACTAAAAATGATTAAATATTATTCTTTCAAAGTCTTAAATAGTCTATAGTCTATAATAAATTACTAAATTTCTTTTCTCAATTAATGTTTGAAAATTATATTTGATTTCAAAGTTTAGAAGGAAGGGAATATGTTAAAATGAAAACTAATTGAGTTTTTACAGCAAGTAATTGTTTCTAACATTTTTGCAGCAAGCAATTGTATCTAACATTTTTGCAACAAGCAATTGTTTCTAACATTTTTGCAACAAGCAATTGTTTCTAACATCTTTGCAACAAGCAATTGTTTCTAACATCTTTGCAACAAGCAATTGCTTCTAACATTTTTGCAATAGCGGGGCGTTGGTACATTTCATAGAAAGACATTTCATAGAAAGGCATTTCATAAATAACAATATCATACATAGACTATTTCAAAGATAAGACATTTTATAGATAAGAAATTCCAAAGATAGGACATCTTATAATTAAGACATTTCATAGATAGGATATTTCATAAAAAGACATTTCATGAATAACAATATATGCATAGACAGACCATTTCATAGATATGACATTTCATAGATAAGACATTTCATAGCTAAGACATTTTATAGATAAGACATTTCAAAATTAATACATTTCATAGACAGAGAAGTTTGTCCATAGACAGAGGAGATTTTTCTCCAAATATTATTTTTTCCTTCAACAAATAAATAAAGTACTCTTCATATGTGATTTTTTTAATTGTTTCATTGTGACAATGTATATGGAGAATACTGTATTTACATCTTGTCTATGGAGAATACTGTATTTACATCTTGTCTATAAATACTGTATTTACTGTAAATACTGTATTTACAAATTTATTAAATTAAAAATCTCCTCTGTCTATGGAAATTTTTCTCTGTGTATGAAATGTCCATGAAATGTCAGCTATCTATGAAATGTCCGTCTATGAAATTTCTTATCAATAAAATATACTATCTATGAAATGTCCCAACGGCCTTTTCAATCCTCTGTTGCAAACCTGTAATATTTTAAACTATGATTTATGTAGAATCGAAGAATTAAAGTTTGAAATAACATTATCAATATCGGGTTGAAAAGATATAAAAAGTTTGATACAAATACTTAATTCCTTTACCCGTTGTTCACAGCATTGATCTGCTGAAACTACTGCAGAGGTGAATGCTAAGAGTGAGATTGCTGCAAGCATGTTTCTGTCAAACCTCAAATCTTGACTGAAGTTTAGAGCATTGATGAAGTCTGAAGTAAACTCTAGTAAATATTTTGAACCAATCAGATTTGATTAATTTTATTATGAAACTAATCAAACTCTGATTGGATGAAGGAGACGTTAGTTCAAAATATCCAGGAATTTAAAATAAAAATTTAATTTAAAATCTGAAAAAAAAAGATTCCAATCAGAATCACATTGCATGGAATTATCCAAAATTATGCGGATCAGCGCTGCAGGGAATTGTGCGGAATTAAAGAGAGTGAGTACAAAAAGCCAAATAACAAAACGTCCAATGTTACAAAACGTCCAAATAAAAACATCCAATTACAAAACATCAACTGCAACAAAACATATAGTTACAAAACGCCCAATTACAAAACGCCCGATTACAAAACGCCCAATGTTACAAAACGTCCAATGCAAGAAAACGCCCAATTACAAAACGTCCAATGCATAAAAACGCCGAATTACAAAACGTCCAATGTTACATAACGTCCAATAACAAAAAACCAGATCTAGTGTTACTAAACGTCCAATTAAAGAACGCTCAACTACAAAATGTCCAACAACAAAACGTGCAATGTTAAAACGTCCAATTTCTTATGTGAAATAAGACACTAATGTCTAATTTTTTTCAAGAAAATTCGCAATTTTTCTGCTGAAATTCCTCAAAGTCAGTTTTCTGGAGTCTAAACATTTATGTAGATATTTCATAAAATAAAATGAATAATCAAGAAAGAAAAAAATATAATTTATTTAAAGTTTAAAGTTTTATGAGTTTCATTGTATGTGTTAAACTAATAGTTTTGTATTTTTTACTTTAAACTTTTTTTCTAGATATGATTTCAACAAAAAAAAATGGCTTTTATTTGGCATTTGATTCATCTACAGTAGTAGGCGATTATATCAGTACAATAAAGACAAATTTTAATTACAATTTGCAATAATATAAAACTAAACTATTTCTTGGTTCGGTTGAACAATTACCAGAAAATTGTTAAAGTGTGTGAATAATTTCAAGGTTAGATTAATTGACAGTTTCCGGGCCAGGCGCCGCAGCTAGGAGTTGAAATACATTTCACTTAAACTTTCATTTCAACAAGATTACTTTTCGCCATTATAACACCATCAGTATCTGCAACATTCCATTATCAGAAAGTGAAGAATACGACATTTGATGAATTCTTTTGATGTATTCGTTATTAAGGGTTTCACTGTGTATATTTGGATTTTGCAAAAAAATCCAATTTTTGCAAATTTGAAAATTTGTTAGCAGTTTCTATGAGTAGAGCATCAGAGCTTTCCAATGACTATAGATGTATCATTTGTCATATTTGGACATCAAACATGGGATTTAGATCCCCCTCCAAGCCTAAACCTGAAATAATATACACACATTTAAACTCCTGTCCACAGCAATCGGCCCCCTGGCCTGTCCTGGCCGCAGAGCTTGGGCCAGAAACTGTCTTTACCCAGCTGTACCCTAAAATAATACACAGATTTTAACTCCCAACATTTTTTTTTTTGGAATTTGGAATTTTTATCCAAAAAATCCACTTGCGTTAAAAACCCTATAGGTGTAGTTGTAGGGGGACTCGCCCTTACTTTCTTTAAAAATGGGGGGGGGAGGTTCGGATTTAAGGAAGGCATAAAAATAAATAGAATAAAAAAAATTCAAAGAAGGAAACAAAAAGTTCAGCCTTTTCTCAGGGTTTCAAAATCTCGGGATTAAGTGTTGATTTTCTTTTTAAACAGAACAACAGGCTACGGTCACAGATTAAGTTAATCCCTCTGCAATATCCCATAGTGGTGATACCCTGCAAGGATATAACTTTAATTGAGCCCACACTAGATATCAATATCAAGCATGTGCAGAATATTCAACGAGAAAGTTTCAACCTTCGGTCAAACAAATTTTTCACCTACGGCACACCCCCTCTTTAACATTAACTATTTAAACTTCGTTACCCATCCTCCCTACTCCCTCCTTAAGATGTATATGGATGAGAGGAGGGTGTATATGGATGAGAGGAGGGTGTATAAGGATGAGAGGAGGATGTATATGGATAAGAGGAGGGTGTATATGAATGAGAGGAGGGTGTATATGGATGAGAGGAGGATGTATATGGATGAGAGGAGGGTGTATATGGATGAGAGGAGGATGTATATGGATGAGAGGAGGGTGTATATGGATGAGAGGAAGATGTATATGGATGAGAGGATGTATATGGATGAGAGGATGTATATGGATGAGAAGAGGATGTATATGGATGAGAGGAGGGTGTATATGGATGAGAGGAGGGTGTATATGGATTAGAGGAGGGTGTATATGGATGAGAGGAGGGTGTATATGGATGAGAAGAGGGTGTATATGGATGAGAGGAGGGTTTATATGGATGAGAGGAGGGTGAATATGGATGAGAGGAGGATGTATATGGATAAGAGAACCACATATTCAAGGGTTTAAAAAATAAAATCGGATTTAATTCTTGGAGGGTTTCTTTTGATTCAACTGGTTTATATAAGTTAGAGAAAAAAACTGTTATCCAATTTTTATTATTGTGTTAGAAGCTTAAAGTACAATTGTTAAAAACAAGCACTAAACCTATGTTTATTATTACTTTCAAGTTTCAACTTAACCAATTATTCTTGCTTCATTGAAACAAATAGCAGAAAAACACACAAAAATCTTGCAGTAAAAACTGCAACATTGAAAACACATTTTGAAATATATGATTTGGTATACACCAATGTGCTATATTAAAAGCAAGATATTATGCATTGACCCATTTGATAGATGATATATTTAGAGAAGCATATATGAAATCGCTAAATGAAATTACAGAATTAACTTGCGTAAATTTTTATGAAATTATATTAACAAGTTTTGACAAACTAACACAAATATTTTTTAGGACAAATAAATATGAGTAAATTTTGTGACTATAACTATAAAACTAATGGTTTTCGGACAAGTTTAAACTTTAATTCAAACAAATTTAGGCAGGCTTTGGGATAAAAATATTGAGGGACAAACTTATATTATCAGACTTTGAGAAAACATAATATAACAAATTTCGACACAAACGTAAAGAATTCTGGGACAATATAATATTGTCATGCTTTGGGTCCAAAGTGTGTAATATTAGAATATTAAGGAACAACTGAAATGCAATTAGTGTGTGTCCCACCCCATATTGTGGTATTAGATAATGCCCTATGAAAAATGAGGTAAATATTTAGAGAACAAAATTTAATTGAATTTAATTTCATCTTTTATAATCTTTGGTTTAAGTGATATTTTTTTAATTTTTCATGAAATCTAGGAAATGTTGATCATTTTCTTTAAAAATAAAAACTGTGAAATTTTGCTTCAATCTGTTTTGCGAAAAACACACAATTTTCTCAAAATAGAAAATGCGAAAATTTCGCAAAAATTGCAAAAATTTCGCGAAAAAATCATGCAATTAATTTTTTCCACGAAAAAATAAGCAAATTCCGAAAAAGTTTGCTAAATTCGACTAAAAATTTTCTCATTTTTTTACAAAACGTTTTGTTCGCTAAAACATAAACTGTCAATATTTAACTGGTAAATAAGTTTGAAGTATGCATTATTTAACATATTATTAACTAAATCTTTAAATTCTGTATATATCCTTTGCTTGTGTGTTTGTTTGTCTGTCTGTCAGTTTATATCCAATAAATATGTCCAAACTGCTAGAGCCAACAGGGAAGGTTTATGAATGAAAAAAATTTATAAAATTGTGTATAAAAGTTTTATTTTTGTAAAGTTTTTTTAAATTTTTAAAATACATGATTTTTTATAATGAAATTCGTAAACTTTTAATTTTTTAACAATGTACACAAAGAAAACATGTTCTAAGTTGAAATAGAAGATGGGCACAAAATGCCCTAAGAAATGAAAACGCCCTGATGAAAAGGAATGTTGTCATTTCTTACTTTTTAAAATGCACCAATTTANTTCAGCTGAGCTACCCAGTGATATAAAGATATATATTGTATTTAGGTTAACTCTAGTACTGAGTAAACTAGGGTTCAGCTGAGCTATCCAGTGATATAAAGATATATATTGTATTCAGGTTAACTCTAGTACTGAGTAACCTAGGGTTCAGCTGAGCTATCCAGTGATAAAAAGATATATATTGTATTCAGGTTAACTCTAGTACTGAGTAACCTAGGGTTCAGCTGAGCTATCCAGTGATATAAAGATATATATTTGTTAACCGATCAAAAGGTATATGGCTCGAAATGGGCGGAAATGGAGCTAAAGAAATGCAACTCGAGATAGCGGAAATTTTGGTCGGAGCCGGGTATATGTTTCCTAAGTAAGCTTCTCAAGGGATCACAAATCTAAAGGCGGTAGGCTGGATAAACTACTCCCATACTCAATACATAGACGAGAACTTCTTGATGAAAAATATATTTCAGTAACAATGTTTCCTACAAAAAATACAAATTGTTATTGACGTACATGTATATAAATGATGATTGTTAATAAAGATTAAACCAGTTGGGTGTAACTAAATACATGAGTATAGTTGTTAACGAACAATTGGTTAAAGAAATGTGTATCATTGAGAATTGAAGAAAGGCTTAAAGGCACTGTTGTGAATCGGCAAACAAAAGGTTTAAAAAAAAGGTTTAAAAGATACTATTGCTAATTAAACATCAGGAACTTACGATCTAAAATTGTATGGCATAGGAATAGTTTTTTGAATTGTAGTCTAAAGCAATTTTTAATCCTCTGAAAAAATATTCATTTGGTTAAAGGAATTTCACTGTTTGTACGTAAATGATTCACTGGAATTATGTTTAAATTGTTTATTTTTTTTAATACACTTTAAGTTTTATTAGCTCCATGAGGCTTTGTTTATATTTACGCGGAGACCTTGGAAATGTTTGGTTTGGAAAGTGAACGGAGGGTTTAATGGAGGTACAATTTGTTAGAGACGACATTACAACAGAGTAACTTATGGGATATGGTTCACAATA